ATTAAAATATGCTGTGTGTGCTTGATATAATTCTTCAGTTGTCTAACACAATTGCAGTGCATGGTTCGATTTAAGGATGAATCCCGCTACCATCAGGACGTATCTTGTCGGGGGTGTAGCTCAAATGGTAGAGCGCTCGCTTAGCATGCGAGAGGTACCGGGATCGATACCCGGCATCTCCAAGCTTAATTTTTTTTCTTAATGCTGCACACTTGCTGCTACTCTGGAGGAGAAAATACCGCTCGCCCTTTTTCTAAACAATTTAATTTACTATCTCCTGTTTAAGAAATAAGAAAGAGAAGAAGCAAATAAGTAAGAAAATGTACCGATGAGTGAGGAAAGGTGGCAAGGAATATGATGGCCAGGCTGGTAGATTTGTTACCTGCCCACAGCTGAGCCCTAACCCTAACCCAAACCCCCAGATTTGCAAGATGCGGCCTATACGGTAGTCAGGCCACAACGGTTCTATGGTGTAATGGTTAGCACTCTGGACTTTTAGCTAATGCATTAATCTATTTGAAACAATTTTATCCCAGACATGCTTTTATCCAAAAGTTTATTCTACCTTCTTGTTTTATTAATATCACTCTTGACAATTCAATTAACATTGAATTTTCATAGTTTTATTTTATAAGTGTATATATATACACCTTTTATATATTTTAACATGTTTTTAAAGTAACTAGCATCTTAATTCATCAGTATGGACTAGTCTCTATAACCCTATAGCTTAAAACAACAGTAATAATAGCTTATACATTCCTTTATATGTTGTGTCAACACTAGCAGACGATGCCCTAGTTTTTACTAGAGCAGACTTTCAACTCTCTTTGGCAATTCTCTAAGAAATATCCTTATGGATCTTTGCAATTTTTGATTTCGAATGTAAAGATCCATTAATAAGGATATTTCTGCCTCTCCAAAACAATCTCTCAGTCATAATAAGTATTTGAAACACAGAAAATTAAATAATATTGTTAATACACCGTACCATAACAGCTTTGAGTATCCAGTCCTTTTCACCAACCTAAGTAGTCTTGATCTATCAGTTGCTTTTAAAAAAAAAAAAAAACATTTTATATCCTATATTTATACTTTTTTCAAAAATGTAACAAATTTCTTGAATTTCACGTGATGTCCTTAGTATTTCCGTGTAATTACTACTTACTTTTCAAATATTTTAAACCTTTTTGACTAATCTAATGCTTGATTTTTAAATATTTTATATTTAAATCTTTCCACTACATCAAACTAATTGCCCACTGTAAACTATTTTTTTGTATATATATTACCCTAAAGTGCAAATAACAATAATATAAATTTCATCTTTTAAGTTATCTTTCGACAAAATTTAACCTGTTTTTCACCTATTTCAATCAAAATCTTAATCTATACTCTCTTATTATTTTGATACCGCTTATGAGAGATACAATGTCATTGCTAGTGTCCACAATCTGAAGCCCTGCAGTAAAATTAGTTAAGTTTTTAATCCTATTATAATTTCAATATTGTTTTTATTTTATGAGGTTCTATATGCAATATAGTACCATGATGATACATCAATCTTTTATGTTTTTAACTCCAATATGGAGAAACAATCTGTGATAACGACACATGTATATAATTTGATCTTATCCCCTTTATACCAGTAATAAGTAATATTGTATTTTATCATTTTGTATTGTATTATATTATATTGTAGTACATAATATTATATTGTAGTGTATCATATTTATGTTTAATAAATATTTACAAGATAAAAAAAAAGTATCCCCGCCTGTCACGCGGGAGACCGGGGTTCAATTCCCCGCCGGGGAGGATGGGTTTTTTTTTTATTTTTGTTAACTCTACTTTCGGCAGCGCATTTCCTTTAAAATTCATTGGTATTCTTTCTCCCTCCTTTGAACAGGGAAACACGGAGAAAAGAGTATTACACATGAGTTTTGATTGCATGACACAGGGCTTTTGTTTCCCTTCTCGCAGCACCCTGCCCAATCAGGTACGGCGGTGTCCGTGGGGCTGGTGGATGAGGCTGCAATCACGAGAGAGGCTTCGAAGTGGTAGGTCGAGTTGCTGAGCCAAATTGGAGAGGAAGGCGACAAGAGTTTGGAGAGAAAAAGAAAAACAACGTGGTGAACGGGGGAAAAAACATATGTTCCGATACCGGGAGTCGAACCCGGGCCGCCTGGGTGAAAGCCAGGAATCCTAACCGCTAGACCATATCGGAGCGCTGAGTACCAGTCCATTTTCACAGCCAGAAACC